CCTGTAATAAGTGTGTGCTTACACATTCTGAGTATCACTGTACCCTTCAATGTTGATGCCCTTGACAGACAAGTATATACAGATTGATGAGTATTACGAGTCATCCCTGACTCGTTGATTTATCCTTCTGCATGGGCTTGAAATTTGGCGCGGATCCAGCTCGTGAAAAAAGGAAATGGTCTCCCACGCATGCCGCCGACGCGACTTCTGTCTCTCCCGATCATGTTCGCGTTCAACTCCCCATCCCGCCTATGCACTTCGTTCTTCTGGATCATGCCCTGTCTCATTACATTGTGTGCTTACAATATGCCTACTGATAAATTCCGCGGGACATATGAATGTCATGGAGAGATAGTAGCACGGAGGAGAGGTTATGGCTGACTTTTGGTGCGCCCCCATCCCCATGCAATTGCCCGAGTGTCGTTTGCTGTCACCATCCATGTCTAATCAATCCTACAGGATATACTTTGTTCGAGAATATCATAACTGAGCATCCACTGCCAGCGTGCCGTGCGCCTTTTCGTAAGTGCAAGCACTACATCGAAGGAGGTCGCCACACACCGTCTGTGAGTGTTCAGCTTTTACCCGACTGTATGGCCGCATGCCTGGAATGAGATCCGTAGCGCAGCAGCCTTTCTGCAGTGGTCATGTGCTCGCGGTGCAATATACTGGGACGCCGCGGGGAATGTGGCGCGGCGCTCGATAGTGTGGGATGTGTTCGACCGTTCCAGATTCACAGTGGTCGGCTATAGCTGGTGGGCTGATACTGGGTATGTGCATACCCTCGAACAACACGAGATTCTCTTCGCTGGACAGGCGCCGTCGAGATCATCTCTTGATCTCCTCCATATGCCCGATTTATCGTTGATGTAATCTATCCAGACGCCAGGAAGCTATCGCGGCGCTACAGGACATGGGATGGAGTTTGTGCATTCTTCACCTGAAAGGTCTAGATAGGGGATCTCAGAGTGTAAGTAGTGTGTAAGAGTAGCCTCATGATTTCCGTTGCCTGAAGTATCTGACTTCAGTTGTAGGGTGACCTTCAAAGCTAGGATAGGGGCAAAGCGGATATAGGGGCGAAGCGGACATAGGGGCGGTATACGCGAGGCGCAAGTTGTCAACTTTTGGGACGGATGTATACCGCGGTCGTGGAACGCCCGATTCTGCACCCGGAGGAGCAGCCCGCTCGCGGTATGGGTGGTGCAGTTATTATTCTGCCTCGTGTGATCTGTGGTCGAATCGAGGGTCGTTCCGCTCATACGTGTATAGATAAGTACCAGGGCATAGTCGGACATTCTGCCAGGCAGCGTTGTAAATATCCATAGCTCACACTTGTACGTATTTGTTGTGGTCAGACCCCGGTGGGTGTAGAGTGGTGAAAACTGCACGGTAGAAGTTGGGCTATCTCATTTAGTCCAGTTGTGCATGCCAGTAAATGAGCTAGCTAGGGTAACGGGCAAATGTACAGGCGCTCCTCTGGGGCGGGATGGCGCGACGCGTGAGAACCCGAGCATAACATGCGCTCGGAAGGCGCGGGGAGGCTTGGCTTCAACCCTGTTCACGCGTCGAAGGGCATCTGCTTTCGAGACTTGCCGACGGTCTTTAGACAAGCTTGTTGGCACGCAGGAGTTATTGCTGAGATAGAGCTGTACCATGGTGCGTCGTTACAGCAGTCTCCGATCATTGGACGTTGTCTCTGACGTATGGCTTAGGTAGTAACAGATCTGGATTGCAGAGTCTAAGCCACTACACGCGACGGCGGCAGGTTGCTTCAGCGATTGTAAATAATACAAGCGATAATAAAAGGTCTTGTGCACGAGCTTTGAGGTGACTGGTCTGCTACCTCCTGTATGTCGCAGCGTGATGGGTTGTTCACGCGGCAGGAGGGAAGGCCATCAGGAGAAGGCGGCGAGAGTTCGTCAGACGTCTTTCTGGTTTCAGCGACATGGTAGCCGCATCGCAGGGGTAGAGCTCTGGAGCGAAAACGTTCCGATCGTCGATATTGGGATATTTTGGCCACAGTCTGGAGGTTCCTTTTCCTCGTTCGCGTCTAACTATCAGCTCCGGGCTCATGATATGTCTGACTGCCGTGGATCCCGCAGACGCGGATGTGAATAGAGACATATGTGTGGTCTGTTCATCAGTCAGTGAGTGAATTCGGTCGTGATAGTGGCGCCGTACATTTGTGACGCTTGCGTCGGTAATACTGATCGAGCGTAGGAACTGCTTCATCTTATGCCCGCCTGCGAAGGGTTCGAGCTTGAAGGCCATTTCCACAGAAACAACCTGGCCGTATCTGACAGCACCGCCACTTGACGTTTGATACATGAACTCCCCGGCCCTAGAAAGCATAGTGAGCGGTGAATGTATAGTTAACAAGACATCGTGCTAACCTTGCTGTACGGACCGCACGTGTAACAGACACTCGGTTCTCTTCGGTGACGAGGAGGCCTTGTCGTGTGGCCCATGTGTTTGCGATATCATAGGGATCTTCTACGTTTGTAAAGGGAATGGCAGCGTTTCGGTCTGTCACCTCGCCCGGATCAGTAGCCAAAGGTGCCTGTGCGACTGTCATTCGTTCTCCAGACAGAGTGGTGTCTGACGGAGACTTACTCTGTCCAGTGCAAGAAGGCGTCGGGAACATCGTTGCCGCCATTTCCTGGATGTTATCAATCGCCCGAAGAGCGTGTGTGAATGTCGGGTGGCCAAGGCCCATGATCGCGATGGACTGGTTGCCCGATTCATACCGACTGCCGTGCTGATCTATCCTATAGCAGCTTCAGACTGCTGTGCCATTGATAACGAGTGGACTTAGGCGCACTGAGCGGATGTGGCAAATGGCAACAGATTGACTTCCGCAACCACCCCTGCCACTATCAGATGGGCTGCTCGGTGCGTGTCGTTCGTCGCTTTCTCGCAGAGTGTGTATTCGTCCCTTGCAACGTCAGTTTTGACCCACACCAATTCCGCGGCGAGCGTTTGAGGCTGACGAGCGGGGTTCTCAGCGTTACCCAGGTAGCAAGACAATTGAAGGTCGAGAGACNCGAGCGGGGTTCTCAGCGTTACCCAGGTAGCAAGACAATTGAAGGTCGAGAGACTTACTGAGGAGAAGGTGCGTAGTTGGTGAAATACGTTGACGCCGAGCAATGCCTCATCCATGGAATCGCCTAGATGAGCGTGATGCTCGGCATGATACAGTGTGCGATGTATGGCGGGTGAGTGGTCCATAGTATCATCCATTTCCCTCTTTGTTCCAGGTGGAAGGGAATACTCGAATATGGAGGAGGCAGTGCGTGTCAGAGTATAAGAGCAGTAACAAATGTTAGCACTAACATACCGATCATGGCAGTGACTGTGCGGAGCACGCTTCTTCGTTTAGCGCCCGAGCTCTCGGATGTTTCGGATGCATTGCCGGCAACTCGCGGCTGAGGGTTCGGGCAAGTTGTTGGGTGGGACGAGTTTTGAGCTAGCGGTATCTTGTGAGCCGGTTAATCCGGGAAGGCTAGCCGATGAGCTCCTGTGCGCCCACCCTGGCAATTTCATCGGGTCCATTGTAGCAAGACCACCCGACAATAGGCGTGCTTGGGACATTGCTGCACAAGGTGCGCGCCGTGCGCCGAAGTGCACACCGACGGTGATGTGAGAGACTGGAGGTGAGCGGTGAGCGCTTCGGGAATGTTCCACTTGCCGTAATTGATTGCAATCAGCGTTTCGACTAACGTACGCTAGGTGCGGAAGACTGCTCGCGCTCAATCGGCGATCACGAACTGGAAAGTGGCCGATGCTTGCGGTGGCGTCGCTCTGCGCTTTGTCCGGGCTTGATGTGTACGTTTCCCTAAGCAGAACAGAATGTGCTGTGCGCTGAACAGCAATAGCAAGGGCTAGCAATGCTCGGACGACAGCATGTATTCGTGGAGAGACAGCACTCGCTTATGGCAGATTGAACATCGGGATTGCCGATCATCAACTTGCCCGAGAAATGCCCGATGCTGCGCAAGCCTCGCAGGACGGGCCTGACAGAGAAGCGCTGAAGTCGTGCTTTACACCGACGCGTACAGCAATGCTCATTCCCTCACACCAATCAGACTATCGAGGGTCGTGTTCCCCACAAAAGTCATAGTCATCGACTTTTGCCATGCCGGTGTAGTACAAAATGTCGATGCCCTTTGACTACGCGCCAAAAGTCGATGACTACATGACTACACCCTTGCCTAAAGCGGTCGGGGGTTTCTCTAAGGCTGTAAACCTCTTTAAAGCTCGCGGAAAATTGATATAATAATTGCTGGGACCTGACCTTTTATTCCCACGGTGGGGAATCTCACGCGCGAGTGTCCAAAAGCGGTAAAACGCAGAGTGTCGTTTCGCGCTGCCCCGCGTGTTCGGCGATTGCCGCAGAAAGATCAGATTACGATTGCGCGCCCAAACACAACTTGTTCTCGCTCTACGTCTATGTCTGTGGCTACCACTACTCATAGCGCTATATACGCGACCGTGCGCTTTACTAATGGATTTCCACCAGCGGGTATACGGGGAGGGGAGCGTAGCCGGGAGGGAGAAAGGGGAGGGGAGCTCGAACACTGGCGCCATACGCGCAGACCCTAGTGCGCGATATACTCAATAGGCTGTATGGCCGGACTCGATGCTCATAGCTCTTAGTTATCCAGGTCCGATAACTCTCCCAATGCCCACAGCAGGTCGTCGGCGACGGCCCAAGCTTGCTTGCGCGCCGAGGTCGTGACGGCCTGCTTTATCCACCACCCCACTGCGATCACAGCAACGAATACCCCTCCAGCGCCTCCCTTCCGTGCACGCGCCCACGTCTCTCCCTCGGGTTTTTCACGCAGAAGCGGCCAGGCTTTACCAGGGCTCCTCCACGCCGGCATCCACGACCTAAACCAGCCCCGCATGCTCTCGCCGTAGGCGTTGAGCTCTTCCTTCCTGATGTCGGGCACCGTCGTGAGCTTGCGACGAGCATTCCGCATCCACCACGAGCACTGGCCGGGGCGAGATGTCGTGGAAAGCTTATGACCGGGATCCTGGAAGAAAATTAGCCAGGAATAGAGTGGTACTAGTATGTCACGAACCTCTCGCAGTGGGAAGCCCAGCTGACACTCGAGGTACGCCCAGCGCTTCAGGATCGACTCCCACCGAGGGTCCGAACTTAGAGGAGCCAACGACTCTAGTACGGAGACGACAAGATCGCGCTCGGAGGCCCGCTGCGATATTTCAAGCGTCTTAATGTAGTCCACCACGCCCGCAAGCGATCGCCCATCAAAGCCAGGTGCCAGCACTGCGTCCAACTCTTCTTGGTTCTGCACCCCGCTTTCCATGCTTTCTGCCGGTGGTGGAGGGAGTGCGCTTGACGCATTACACGATCGAGGCGCCAAAGTACGACGGGACGGCGGTGCTTCAGAGCGCTGCTGCGTGACTATCGCGTCTTCGCGCCCGTTCCTCGCCTCGCCATCCTTTAATTGCGTCTGGCTCACATCGCCTTCGGCCTGAGCAGATGCAGGGCCACTGCTCGTATCCGAGGGCTTCTTGCGCTGGACCGGTTTCGGACGAGGGCGTGGCTTCGGCCCTGCAGCGACCGGTATCGGGGCTAGCGTAGCCCCTGCTGCATGCGATTCGCCCATACTTGGCGTACCTAGCGGTATTTTACCGCCGTGCGCGACGTTCGGCTGAGGATCGGGTACCGTAGCACGCGCAGACTCGGGCGCGGGTCCGGGCGTAGGCTGTGGTACGGGTTCGGGCGTAGGCTGTGGCGCGGGTTCGGGCGTGGGCTGTGGCGCGGGTTCGGGCGCAAGCTCTGTTGCGGGCTTGGGGAAACCCTCTGGCGCGGGTCGTGGCGTCGACTCTCGCGAAGGATCCAAGACAGGCGCGGGCGCGGGCTTTGGTGTTGGCTCAGAAGTAGGGCCGGGAGTTGGCTCGGGTCCGATGGATGTTGGGCGTGTCCGCGGCGTCGGCTCTTGCTCCTTTGCACCGGGTAGCGAGATAATTCCCGAGGCAGGCGTATTGGTTGTTGTCGATGTAGGGACAGCATTGCCAGACGGTACGGGCAACCCGCCCGTGTCTGCGGGGCCTTCCATTGCGGGTGAGGGTGATGCGGGAGTCGCTTGTTCGGGCCGACCCTCCGCAGGCTGGTCTTCTAAGCGCTGACGCTGGCGCGGCGGTGCATCCTCATCTCCGCTACCTCCCTCGGACATGCGCCGTTTCCGCGCCAACATCCAATCCGGTCGATACGGCTGGCGTCCCTCTCGCTCCCGCTCTCTCTGCTCGAGTGACAGCACGCGGCGGTTACGAACCTTCTTGAACTTCTGCGGTGTTGTGGTCGACTGCTGGACACGCCTGTATTCTTCATCGGATAGACGCTTGCCGGTACGGTAGTGACGTCGTTTGGGATCAAGATCCCAGGGCTCGCGAGACCCCTGATCGCTCCAGTCGCTAGGTACGTTGTCGTCTTCGGCGCTTGTGGCATACTCCTCGTCTGATTCACCAGCGCCGTCAGAGCGAGGCGGCGGGATGTCGCTTGGTCCCCACCCATCATCGTCCTGTAGCCCTTCGCGATCCTCGAGATCGCTATCCTCATCCAAAGTACGTTCTCCCTCTTTACCGCGTGCGCGCGTCCTAAGCGTGGTTTTCAGTCATATGCATCACGCGTTTGGGAAGATACTGGCGTACCGTTTCCGAGATGATGGCTGCTTGGCGCGGGTGCGATCGTCAACGGTCTCGCCCTCCACTCGACGCCGCTTTCCCGTCTGGGAGCTTGCCTGAGAGTCGTCATCTTTGGATGAACTCGCGCTTGGACTTGTCCGCTTGGTGCGCGACTGCGCGGGATGACCGTCCGTCGACGGCTTGCTCGACGCCACGGAGGCCTGTCGCGACGTGGCAAATCGAGCCTGATACGGTACTGGCCGATTCTGCGTTGTCGCCGGCGCCGATCCGTCGATGGTGTCAGGGATGCCCGTGCCGTGTATGGTGATGTTCCCGACCGGCGCCACCGCCAATGCTTTGGCCTGTTCCGCAGCCGTTCCGGAGCCATATGTGCCCACAGTATCGCGTACACTCGATTCTGTGCATAGTTTGGTTAGTTGGCATTCATCATCGCGCGAGTAGTACTCATACCGGTGGTGTCGTTCAGGAAGGTTTTGAACGCCGGGACGATGCTATCATTCCACAAGTCGCGGTCGTGTTTGAGGAAGCTGGTCCCTCGTACGGGTCCGGAATGATAACTGTAAGTGCATTAGCGTCTGCCCGCTAAAATATTACTGATGCTACGCACTGGGCCACATCCGTTTCCCCGTTCTTGCCTGGATTCGGGCCGCCAACGATGATGCTGATAGAGTAGCCGGTGTGATAGACCACGCCACGCATGAGTTTGGCGAGGGCGCCTTCAAGTTTACAAATTGCTCTGAGCGGATGTGAGCAATGGCGTCACATACAATATGGTGCGTCTTACCGCTCGCGCTGCATCGTCTTGATCTCACGCACGTTCTCGAGCAGCTTCAACAACTCATCGTCCGCCATAACCGTCATGTCCTGCATACCATCGCCCTCTTTCGTCACATCCGCCGCCGACCCTGTCCCTATTACCACACCGTCCCCGTCAACCTCCACCGCGTCGCCTTCTCCACCAGCTGCCGTCGGCACGCTCGCATCACTCGGGCCAGGAGTGATGGCGTCAGGATTGGCGCTCGGGTCGAGAATCCCGCCGCCCAACGTTCCTACTACCACATCGTCACCGCCAATGTTGTCAATCTCCATCGCGTCGTCTTCCCCACCGGCTGCCGTCGGCGCGCTCGCGTTACTCGGGCCAGGAGTGATGGCGTCAGGGTCGGTGCCCGGGCCGGGAATCCCGCCGCCCAACGTCTCTTCGTTCTGCTCCTGCTTCATTCGCGCCCTCTCCGCCGCCTCTTTCTCCATGACGCCTAATTCCGTCAAGATCTTCATCAGCTGGGGCGAGCCGGAAACGATGTCCTCGAGCGATTGCTCTTGTAGGTGCTTGAAGCGGCGCAGTTCGACTTTGAGCGACTCCGGTTCCGTCGCGTACTTCTCGTTCGCGCACTTGACGTTGTACGGGAGCTGGTGCAGCACCTTCAGCTTCGCCTTCTCCTGTCGCTCCTTGTACTCGGCATACGGCACCATGGTGGGCACAACATTTGTGTCGAAGAAGAACGACATGTAATATTGTCCTTCCGTCTGCTTGCGGTTGGGTTTGGAGAGCAGGTCGAGCATGCCGCCCGTCTCAGCTTGAAGACGGGCATGCGAGGCAACGGTTGCTGGCGCGGGCGCGTCGTGAGCAGCAGCTTCGGTGCTGGCTGGCGCGTTGGGCGCGACGACGCGGTTACGGCGGCGGCGAGCATTGTTATACCATTGTTTGATACGCTAATGGCATCACCGCTCAGGAGTCATCTCACTACAGTATGGCTTCGGGCACATACCTTTCGGAGTGTCAACGGCTTCTTGCCGTTCGCGTCCTTTGCAGCGTCTGGTACGTCGTCTCCAGGGAACTCAGCCTTGAAAGCAGTCATGACGATAGGCCAGAAAGTGTCAAGGGTTTTCGCAGCCTGGTGTTCATCGTGTAGCGCAAGGTGGTTCTCAAGAATATCTCTGCGACGGCCAGCGAAGGGAACAGCAGCCATGGTGAGCGTGACGGTTCGAATTCAACTCAACCAAACATCCCGTTGACTACGCGCACTGCCGGTCTCCTAGCCGCAACGCCGGCCCTCTCGCACAATATTTGCACGCTAAACTTGCGATGCCGTGCCTCTTCGATCCTTGATGTAGATTCTCCCGCGCGCCGTCCGCCTGGTGCCCAGAACGGCATGATTATTCCACCGATCAGAAGGCAGACCGCGCAGGCGGCGTCCATGTGCGCTGCTATCTTTCCAGGTCAGACTTCCTTTACCTACCCAGCAGACGCTGATAAACTCCAGAGACTCGATACCCCCGCCCCTCTTACCCCCCACTACAACTCTCCCTTGAGCTCAATGGCCGCGCCTGTCAACCCCGCTCTTGAAGAGCTCCGTCGTCGTATGTTCCTATCTTGAATGGCAGTACAAACACGATTTACTCATGCACTATTCAGAACTGTACTCGAGCACGGACGCGTCTGCTCCTTTCAGTACGTGTACTTTGTCCCCTTCGCCTGCCCGCCTCAACTGACGGGCTCACCTAGCACCGGCCCTCATTGACTACATCATCGCCTCTGCCCAGCGCGGCATACTTCATACTCCCCTCGACGGTCACCCGGCGGTTTATAGTGTAACGCAGGGATGGTCCGGCGCCCGCGTTGTAAGCCAGTGAGTGTTGTTTCTTATTCGGTCTATTCGTATAACTGACCTTGTACATCTTTCTGTAGAGCTGAGGCAGACGCCGATGTTGCTGGCTTCAGCCGTGCGTCGCGGCGCCTACACTCAACTCCATGGCAGGCCATGACATACGTCGACGTTCACAATTGGACCGACTTGCCTCGTCGTCTGCGTCGTCACCGCGTCGACTACGCGCAACTCAACGCGGAGCTTGCGGCCACCGCTCATCGCTTGCGCCTCGCCTCGGACAAGCCCCTGATTGAACTTCCCGGCCAGGTCGGCGTCCCGGAGCATACGCTCAAGATCACTCCGTTGAAGTTCGCTCTCGACGCCCCAAACCCCGTCGCGACGTCGTTCGTGTGTGGCGGCTGCAGGGTGGACCTGGAATTCGTGAGTGCTCGTGGTCGCTCAACTGGACGTCGTCATTGACCGTCTTCAATATAGACGATGCCCATCCCTCGGACGTCGTTTGCCCGTATTCCCACCGACCCCGAGCTGCGCGGCGACGTGCCAGTATCTGCAGTTCTCGCCGAAGACACGCTCAATGCTGGGGTGCAGTACACCAAGATCAACGATGGTTTCATCGTGTTTGTGGAGGTCGGCTCTGACAGCACGCTGCTCCGCGTGCTTCCCAAGTTCTACCTTTACATAGACGAGCCCGCGCCTCTCCCTCCGCTTACCGGTCACCTACCTCCGCTCTGTGTGCCCAGTGTCTCGTTCGTGGCTTCCCGCGACGAAGAGCACTACTATTGGGCGGTTCTGCAGGGCCGTCGTGTTGGTCTATTCTATGCTACAGTGTATGTCCGTTCGTCCCGCCTGTGTTTGCACGTACTCATATCTTCTAGCTCCGAAATGGACCAGTTGCTCCCGGCTGGCAAGTCCTACGCCAAGGCCAATCTGACCATCGAAGAGGCCACCGAATGGTTCAAGACTTCGCTCCGCAACGGGTTCCCGCTCACCGAGGTCGATCAAGCTCGACGCCTCGTGGACCATGTAGCGGCGGCTCTCGACGAATCGACCGACGCTGGTGCGCAGCCTTTCAGGGCTGCCCTGGCCCAGGTAGATGGCTCGGCGTAGAATAGTTTGCATGTGCGCACACTGCGGGGGCTTACGGCTCATTAGACGTTGCTTGTTTGTGATCAATTTGATGTTCGTTGTATCTATCACCTCATCGTGAATCTCATGAGAAAGAAAAGGCATCGTGCAGATTTCATGGCCCCATTATTGGCGGCCCGGGCGAGGAGTTCGTAAGTAGTAGATTGATCTGCATCAAATATCATGTGACCGTGTCGGGCTACTACGCTTGTATCGAGCGTGAGCGGATCTTGAATGCTACCCCTTGCCTTAAACCATGAACGAGAGCGCTCTTCCTAATCTCTCATCCGGAGAGAAGTACGCTGTACTCGACTACCTGTGCGTATTCGGAAACCCAGAGCGAGCTTTTCACCTGAACCTCGCACAGGGTTTGCTCGCAGGTTTCCTGGCAGTGCTTGACCTACGACATCGCCTGTACATACTCGCGCAACTCCTCCGACATCGTTTTACCCGATTGTGATGTGCACGATGCGGCACGCATGCCGCAGAAGACATTTGAGGCTCCGACGAAGATGCTTACTGAGGCCGGCGCGGTGGATGGCGCTCCCGAGGGATCATCGGAAAGTGCGTAGCCACCGTACCGCTGCTACGCCGATATGACTGCGACTAACTTGGCATAGGTGGCAACATATGAGTCTGACGACCGATCTGTCTGGTCCGTCATCACGGAGTGCTCGACGGCTACGGGCTAATACACCGCCGTCGTCGTCCAAGCCCTTGATACCGGCTACTGTCCATTCTCTCAGCACTTGTATGAATCTTCGTATCGACTTAGAGTCTTTTTCAACGCAAGTACTGTGTGATACTCCTCGCATACGCTCGGTGGAAAGAAAGCATATGATATGCACATAGCAATGGCCCGGGACACTTTCCATCGGTTAGGCACCCAGTTCGGCCTACTGTTCTGCACACTACCCCTCATACGCTGCGCTCCTCTCCGTGATACCGCAGCCAAGTCGAAATGCGCTACGGCCGATCAACATTCTGCCTGCCGTCACGCAACGACTGAGCGTACCTCTTCCAGGAAGACCGAGCGGGCCTCTAAGTCGGGGTCCGTGGACAATTGGTCCGCGCCCAACAGCGTGGCGCGCACAGAATCTGCGGGCCATCGCGCCTGGTAGCTGATGGCAATAATGGCCTCTATCACGCGTCGCTGGTGAGGTCCGCGGGCGGCCATGCTTCGATACAACGGCAGATAGGTACGCAAGAATTCGATGCGTCCCGGTCGCTCGAAGAACGAAAGGTCCATTGGCATGGGTGTGTTGCGAGGTGCGCGTACACATTCTTCATTCCCATTCTTATGCTCAGTGACCGCAGTGGCTGTGCGCTGCTAAGCGGCGAACGGGCCGTGCGCCGACGTGAATGCGTCATCCCAGCACCGAATCGTCTGCATGCTCGCCCAATTTCTGGTTATTTATATCTAAGTAATAGGCCCAGCTGCTCAAATGTGTGTGCGTGCTAATAGGCTACCAGAATATGGAACGAGAAAGTGATACATTCGCGACGCATACGCCCCCCGCAAATACGCAAATACGCTGCCCATCTCGGCGTGCAAGATAAGTTGCACTCAAGCACGGCGGCGAGACTGGTTGGCGAGCCACGCCTTGATGCGCTACAAGAAATAGTCAGCGCCATGTGTGCTGACACGCAAAGAGCAACTCGCTAGGTAGAGGCGATAGAAGAAAAGGCGTACGCTGGGGACGCTGTGGTGGAGACCGGCAACCTTCCGCCGAATGCCTGCGATGCGATCGGGATCATAGCCGCTGGTGCGGTAATAGTCCTCAGGCCAAAGCTCGACGTAGCCACTGACAATGGACTGCCAGGAACGTTTGCGCGCCTCAGCGCCCTCCGCAGAAGCCTCGACGAACTCGGGGAGATGAAGCTCAAGGTACTCCAGACGCCGACCCGTGAAGAACTTGTACGCCGGCTGGCGTGGTAAAGTGATGATGTTCTCGTTCCAGTCGGCCAGCTCCGACATGGGCGACCACGCAGAATGGGCAGGCGACGCCGGAGGGGTTGGCGTTGACAGCGGGCGTGTGTCGATTGGCGCAGGTGTGGTGGGCGTGGAGGTGGCGGTATCGCGCATGGTGCATAAGAGACGTTCAGGCTCCGCAAGCGCGCGGTATTTATATGGTGTGTCACGTTGTCCCTCTGACGGGACGCACGCGAGAACTAATGCCGAACATCTACGCGTGTGCGTGCAGAAACATATCGATTTTATTAGCTAGCTGCTAATGACTACGAAGGACACGAGCTAAACGCCAAACCGAGATTTGACTTCGCGTGCATTGATCCTGCCAACGCGTGAGTTGTCAGTACCCGTATTGTCAACAACAATGTAGTGCCGTACCGATGGCCGCAAAAAATCAATAACTTATCTTGTTCTGCCGTTTGCCAAGCCGCGTCTTGACCGACATTCCAGAGATCGAGCAGCTGTGCGAAGCCAGCAACGATACGGCGGTGAAAGTGTACAGGGTATGACAACCGGAAAGAGCGAAGCGTAGTATGCTCATTATGAGCATGACCCTCGGCGCCTCTGAGTGCACGCTGTAGTTCTTGACGCAGGTAAGACCGCACTGTCTCTTTCAGCTTTTGTTCGCTGCATTGCGTATCTTGTCGCACGAGGACATTGGCAAAAAAGCACGTCTCTTCGTACAGTGCGCGTTCACGTACACTTTGATCGGGGTCAAGCAAGGCATCTGGGCCCGACCAGCGCTTCAAAGCTACCGACGCAGGCAATGCACTTGAATCGCGTCAGGTTCCAGTCAAAGGAACAATATGCGAGGCATACCAGACGATCCCGTCAAGCTCTCTGCGACGGCGAGCAGCCATTTCAAGCTTCTCAAGTCTCCCTAGCTTTCGTCGGCTTGACTTGTGCACATAACGCCAACGGGCCTGTCTTTCGCCCCCCGAGAGACGTCTAGTATGTTGATTGGCAGCCAGGTCTACGAGAATGGCGGGAATCTTACGATTGTAGGCTCTTTCCTTGGCCACTTGGCAAGGAAGTACCTTCGTGCTCTTGTGTGTGTCGGTCACGGTTCTCCAAGTGTAACGAGAAGCGAACGCGGCCCATGGTGCAACGTTCAAGACAAGGGACGAAGCATCTGAGGCGCGTCGGCCGGCTCGGAAATCCCCGCGCGCGCGTGTTACCTCTTTGTGCAGCAGATTGTCGTCTATATACGTCGTCAAGACCAGCATATTATACTTTCTAAGGTAGCCAAACATACGCCCCTTTGCAGATATAGCAAAGATCCGTGTATTGTGTTCTCTCGTTCAGCGTGAAACCGCGACGAGTGTTCGCGCCACACTCCATTCAAGGGTGTTACGCTTTATGCGGGCGCATATCTTGCAGGTGAGCCCCGCGTACGCTACCGGATACAACGGATCACCTTTGTTACTCATGCCCAATGAGTATCATGAAGATTGGGTGACCCTTGCGGAGCCCGGTCAGCGACACTGCTTCCAAACATCAAAAGTTGCGCCGGTCGCGTCGACTGAGAGCTGGCTCAGTGAGTAACCCCACATGGAACGACGAGTCTGAAGCTTCAGCTGCACTGTGACCGCCGCCACTTCTCGTCCCCGGTGGGAAGTATGCAAGTTCACGTACATCAACCGCCACGCGCATGATAGAAACTGACAATAGTATCAAGAGAGACGATCAGAGGACGGCGGTACGCCTTCTGAGTCGTCGCCCAGGTGCTGTTCAAAGACTAAGCTTCCGATCCATACAGTCGCGCTGGCAGAACTCGTACGCTGTTCATATCTAGGATCAATGCATAGCAACGGTATTCATCACAGCTAGACATCTAGGGATACACGGTAGAAACTACTGGTACACAACGATCTCGCCGGCCTCCCGGAACTCCACCCACTTCGCAAGAGCCTCCGCATACTTCATAAAGCCGGGGGCGTACGGCAGCGCCCCTGGACTAGCGTTCTTCGCGTCCTGCCTAGAATAATGTCAGTAACGAACTATACGTAGCAATTGAGACCCACAAACCAAGTCTTGTATATACCCGGACGGCGACTCTTGTGTGCAACGTACCAAGCCTTCTTGCTTCCAGGATGCGTGATTTGATCAATGATAGGAACCGCGGGTCTGAAATTGACTCCGCGATGCACGGGAGGCGTGTACGCGTTAGGCGGAGCCCAGCCTGGTGGGGCAAATCGGGGACGCGTGGGGGCTGGACTTGACCAGGGCGCAAGATGATCCGCTAGATACATTCAGCGACAACAATCTTTTAGTACAAGAAGACGATGCTTACGCTGTACCTCGGGAGGAGCATCCTCTGCAGGGGATGGAGTGCGTGGTGGCGATTCAACGGGACTCTCGCCTCGCCTAAGATGTGCACGCAGCGGCGAGACGGGGCTCGAAGGCATGAAACCGGCGGAGTGGTCGTCACGCTGGGTACGCAAATCATGAGCGACTTGGCGCGCGGTGCCGCGAGCTCCGCCTTGCACACGCGGCGATAAGGGTGTCGAAGGAGGCCCTCCGTCGTGCGTGGGCGGTACCTGAGCAAGAGGCTGAGACTCCCCTGCACGAGGCATTGCTGACATGATGGAGGCGCGCAACTGGGATATTAGAACCTCGCGCTAATAAAGTCAGCCAAGTCAACGAGTTCGTATGCAAGGGAATATGACTCACGCTTTCCGCCGTATCCGTACCAAGCAGTGCCACTCTGTTACCTATTCCGAATTCCTCCTTGAACCTACGATATGCGGTGGGATAATCGTCCAGTTCGTACACACGAGCACCCGGGATCGCCCATGTACTGAGTACAGCATCGAGTCTGCAATCGCCACATCAGTATGGCATACTGTGATGCATGAGCACCTCGCAGCGTACTTATCCATCACGCCGATCTCAAATCCGCGGACAACAGCGAACCGACGCACACCAAGATCTTCAACGCGAATCCTAGGAAGCAAGCCCGATTCCAGTCCCAAGCCTCGAGCGAGTGTCGGGTCAATATTGTCGGAGACCATCGTAGAGCAGGGAGCAGGTCAGCGTCGAGCGTCGGATAGCAAAGAGCTGAGGTCGCCGATTGTGGTGGACAAAAGCAAGTCGCAATATGGGCACGCGGTCAACATCTAGAACTAGGTTCTCCGTAGAGCATAGAGAATCAGGTCGCCTATTCGCGGGGTTGCAAGAACGATCAGATGTTGTACACATCGTGCTAAGAGCACAAACGGCAAGTTCGCGCGAGCGAGCGGTTTTTGACGCCATCAGTAGGCGGAGATCACCTGGTTCCCACCTCAGTTGAAAGTCGAACCGTTCTTGGGCGTCAAAACTGACACCTTGTCTTTAATCCTCCACGGTCGACTACAGGAAGCTGCCTCACCATGCAGTATTCTGCCATGACTTCGATGTCTAATGGCATATTCAGAGGATGGCGCGTTGTTTCGACTGCGGGGGCGGCGGCTGTAGGGGTCCGTGCCTGTTGTCCGCCAGGTATCTTTAGCGTCGATCTGGATCTGGTCAAGCAATATCCGCCAGGAATTGCACCCACATGTACCGTTTGGCCGGATTGCTGGTGCCAGGGACTTGGGTCCCTCAGAATTGCCGGTGGCGACACGACTGTAGCATACGCGCTTTGACTGTTTCTTTCCGCTACTCGCCTCCCTGTCGCCCCAACTCCCTGCCATGAATCGCAAAGGCCGCCGGAAGCTGGCCAATGCGCCGCTGAATAGGATAAACTTGCTTATCCAATACGCCAATCCACCTACTGTCCCACCTCCTGAGTCGGCAGCCTCGGAATCTCTTGTGTCGGAGCCGACTTCGAGCACAGGGCCTTCGAGATCTTCGACGTCAACTCCCGCTCCGGATGTAAGCTCTCCTTGCAGATACTTTACCGGCGAAGTGCCTAACGGTGCACATTAGGACGCAGCCGCCGAGACGGTCCTTCCCCAGTCTCTCCTGGACATACGGGCGGCTCTACGTCTCGCTCGTTCCACTCAGGTAAGCTTCGTCATTCCTTCTACATAGATAGAACACATGCTGATTTACTTCCAGCAACCTAGCGTCGATTCTGACGCGGGTCTGTCTACGTCCACGCAAGTCGGCGTGGAGTATAACCCGGATGGGTCCCGGAGGGCAAGGACTGTCACTCGATTGCCCGAAGACGCGGGCCTCGCGGCCGATTGCACCTCGCGGGCGTCAGATGGTGCCAACCCCAACGACCCGCGGTCAGTCGTAGTCACAAACGAGGATGGCGAGGAAGAGGATGAGTCCGTTTGGGTCGAAGTGGAACGGGGACCGCCAGCGGGCGCGACAATGGACAGCGAGCCGGCCTTCGGCGTCAACACCAACGACGCGGATGCGGACCCCTCAGCCAAACGTCACAAGTCGACCCGCGCAAAGGTTAGCAAGCTCATGCATACACCTACTTCCATTCACTCGTACTCACTGCTGTTGTGTAGCGCGACCCCATGGAGGACTTTGTGCATTACCGCGACATCCTACTCAGGGAGATGCTTCGGCATGAAGGACTCAAAGACGAAGAGCTTCATCCGGAAACTAACATGCCCACCTGCGCGTGCGGTCTTGAAGCTTCGCTTAAATGTGTCGACTGCCTTGAGTACGGGCTTCAATGCTCGGAGTGCATGGTAGCGGCGCATGCAAGTCGCCCTCTACATCGAATACAAGTGCGTGCCAGTATACAATCACCTCACTTGATCATTTCGCTGACCAAGCTTGCCAGATATGGAATGGCGAGTATTACGCTCCGTACTCGCTGGAACGCGCCGGCCTCTGCATCCAGCTCGGTCACGATGGCGCGCCTTGCCCACATCCCGAAGAGAAGAACACGCTGCTGACCGTTATCGATGTGAGCGGTATACATCGTGTGCGCTACGCGCTGTGCGGCTGCCTCATCTTGAACTCGTCCGATCCACCTGTCCAAATGATGCGCGCTGGCTGGTGGCCTTCGTCAATCGCGCGCCCACGGACGGTTGTCACCTTTTCCACTCTCCGCCTCTACCACGCGCTCGCCATCCAAGGTCGTATCAACATGTACGATTTCTATAACGGGATTGTACGGATCACCGACGGCGCAGGCTTACTCAAGATATCAGTAAGTTATCTTCCCCTGCCTCTGTTCTGTACTGCGCTGATCGTCATTAGATCTGCTACAATGCCTTCGGACGCGCGGTCCGCATGTATCGCAACTTACGTGCGGCGAAGCGTGCTGGACGCGGCCAGTCGGAACGTCCGCTTAACCAGACGAAGGTTGGTGAGATTGCACTGCGCTGTCCGGCCTGTCCAATTCCGGGCGTGAATCTTCCCGAGGGGTGGGAGAAGGCTTCGCCAGAGGAACGGTCAGTACTTCGTCCCATGCGCACTACGACAACTTATACTGATATATGTACAGGTTCCTCTACGCGTTATTTCTAGCCATCGATGCAAATTTCAAGTTGAAGCTCAAGGACAAGCTCGCGCGCTCCGTATCACTTGCCGACGGCTGGTCATTCATCGTAGAAGATCTCCCTTACAAGGAGCATCTCGCTACGAATACGGATATGACCGAGGTTCGTCATCCTGCTTCGTAATATCGGGCATGTATTGACTCGCGTGACAAGATGAAGCATTGTACTTCCGAGTACAATGCCCTACGGTCTGCGAATATGCCGGCTTCGAAGCGCTGGTCTGTAAACGGTGTTGGGGCAAGCATCTGCGCTCGGCATCTACTCTATCGCGCACAGGGCGTGACGGATTTACCTCGGGGAGAACGGTACGCCTCGTTGAGCTACCTTTTCTTTACTCGTATACTGATACGACTGCTAGGTACGCTTGCATGGATTACGGGTTGTTCAGGATGCTCGGCCTGACGGCCCCGGACCTGAAAACATTCTACCTCTCGTATGACATCGTCTGCGAGTGGTGTGTCAACTTCTTCCACCGGCTTGCTGAGTTATACCCCGAGCTATATACGTTATCCGACGACGTCATCATCAACTTCGTCATTCCGAAGTTTCATCTCGAGGTACACGGCGATATGTGCAAGGCTTGCTTCGACCTGAACAAGACCCACGGCGCCGCGCGCACCTGCGCCGAAGGAATCGAAGCGGGCTGGGCAGATATGAACGCCGCCGGTATCTTTACGCGCGAGATGAGTGCCGCGAATCGCCACGAGTGCCTGGACGACTTCATGCAGGCGATCAATTGGCGGAAGATCAAGAATATGGGTATGTACTGCATTGAAGATCGTTCCCTAGGACGACGCTGATACTATACGTAGCCTCATCGTTCCTGACGGCGCTGAAAGAGGCTCTCCCGCTCTCCGTTGTTCAAGCGAGACGGTTCGCGAAGATGAGCAAGACCATTCCGCCAGCAGTCACCGTCGAGTGGACGGCGCGTGTGCGCGCGTGGGATGAGATTAAGGACAAGAAGGGTGCGAAGGAGAAGAGCCCTTACCGCCTTCCTGTACGCTGTACGTACTCTCCAGGATTTCATATGTGTGCATTAGTTGACCGATCTTTAGCCCGCTCGTTGGCTGAGGTCAAGCTTGAGATCGCGAAGGAGGAGGCGGAAGAGTTGAGCAAAGGCGTATCCCTCAACGACATGACCGCCAGTTCGTTCATCACGGCCGTTCTAGCCTTGGAAGACCAAAAGTAAGCACGCAACTGTATGGGAGTGCGCGCGCGCGAGCTGACAACTGCATCCGAAGATACAACCTCGATACCAAAGCCGCCAAAAAGTATCAAACGGACCACGCGAAGGCCTCTCTTCAGGTCAAACAGAACCAGCTCTATCTGCGCGCGAAGAAGCTCGAGTCCGCGCAATCGTCGTACATCATTGGTATCGGCGCAGCGAACGTCTCGCAACCCGGTGAGTATAGTGCTGGCGTACACTACACTATAGCTAAAACATATCCAGATAAACCCACTGATGAGACATCGACGTCAACTACGAATGGAGGTACGTCGTACAGTAATGTGTAGGTCATCGAGCGGCCCCTGACTCAGAATGTAGCCGAGAATTCGTCTAGTCTCTCGCCAGAAGCTGGGTCTCGGTCGGGCGATGCCTCAGGGTCTCCCGCTATTGGTGGCCGCGGGCGTGGGCGTGGAGGCAATGGTGGACGAGGTGGAGGTCGCGGGCGGGGCCATGGAAGGACGAACCGCGGACCGAATCGCAAGCGCGGACGTTCCGGGTCGGTCGGCGCTGAAGCCTCCTCAAACTCGGTCACGTCATCGGCCACCGTGGATCTGCCACTCCCTGTCCATGACGTCCATGGCTCAACGGGCGGCGGCGATGCTGTTGAGAACGAGGGCGAAGCTCTGCGCGTCACGGAGGAGGTGGAAGTTGATGATAACGATGACAACTGGATCGACTTCATCGAGGTGCCGGACTACCTGGCGCCTATGCGCATCGATAACATACGCGTTCAAGGGCGTGGGAAGGCGAAGAAAGCGGTCGCGTCAGCTGAGAACGCAGTCACGCTCTGGTTGCCGTCGAATCTCGCCTCGGACATGCGCTCGAAGGTCTGCAATGGCGATCTAGTCAACAAGGAGATCAAATTCCGCATCGCTGTCTGCAACGACCAGATTCACAATGTTCGACGCGCGGTGCGAACGGTAGAAGCTTTCTACAGCTGCAGCAACAAGGTCGGGTTCCTCACGCAACGGCATCAGACGCGAAATCAAACGGCGCTGAAAAGTATGGTCGAAAACTTGAACCGTCACGTCGAGCGTTACCGGCGCTCCTGGAACGCACTGTGCGTGTTGGACCCGCAGAACAGTCACGGGTGGCAGGCCTCCCTGAAGGAGCTCACGAAGAAGGACTTGCGTACGCCCGAGGATGACGAGTTACCCACGACAGTCCCTGACTCTGACGATGAGCTGGCGCAAGCCGCGGCAGCCGCTACCCGCGCAATACGTGCGCGCGACAAGCGCAAGCGCAAGACACGAGAGGGCGACAAGAGCATATCTTGGATCTGGCTGGTTAACAAGGCCGATGCGCGCGATATGCCCGAGGCAGACCCCAACGCGCCCGAGCGGGAGGTTTACGAATGTAAGTGTCTAAGCTACCTTCTCACAGGACACTGAGGTTAATCGGGCGATAGATATGCGCATTGACTGGATGAAAGCTCGCTGCCGCTCCCTCCGTTGGGCAGAGCAGGTCAGACTTTTACTCGAGGAGATGCGGCGCGTCGTATGGACACACGCCGATACCGCAGTCATCTGGGAACGTCGCGCGGCCGACGTTGACGGAAGAGTCGACTTGCGCGAAGACTTCAAACGTGGCGCCAAGGCACACGCTCTACGGCAGGCGAACGTCTGGCTATCTCTGGGCGTCGGATGCGTTCAGAAATGGGAGCCATTCCTGCGCAAGCATAAGCGCGCGATCGACTACCCAGCCCGCATCCGAAAAGAAGCCGCAATCGTCATGGATCTTGAGGAAGACGACGACACCCAGACAGCTACAACGGCGCCTACCGACGACACCGCGCGTACAATCGCAGAGCAACGTGCGGCTACGCTCAGCGCTGTGCTACGCAGTCTTCTCGACGGCCATTCGGACGGTCTAAGCGACTCCTCATCCGAAGAGGGAGACGAGATAGAGGGTGGCGACGGCGTGGATCGCGACGATGACGATATAGAGGAGCTCACACTTGTAACTTCTGACGAGGGTGAAGACGATGATTGATACTATCTACCATATTACATTCAATGTACATCATACAAATTTGAATATACGTTAGAGCAATAGTGGCAAGAGGAACGCGGGCCCGAGAGCCGCAAACAGCGGACGCATGCGGGCCCTGAAGCGACTTGCGCGTTTCGCCCGTCTAGTGTGGACGCGTATGGGTCCCGACGCGACTTCTTCGTCTCCAACACCGCGCAGTGTGGCATATGGGCGCATATGGATCCAGACGCGACTTGTTCTTTTCGACGGCCGCGCATATGGCGTATGGACGCGTGTAGGTCCCAGCACGACTTGTTCGTTTTGACGCGCCTTGCGGATGAGGCGACTTGTCCGTTCGCGGCCCGGCTGTTAGAGGCCTCCAGTCAAATCTTGAGCGCTGTTTCGAGTGTGCAGGAAAGCGATATGGACATGTTTGAAGCCGGTAGGGAAAAACTGACTGCAAATACGCCTCAGTCAGATGCAGAACGGGTCTCGTCATCACGTACCGATTATTATGCCCACTGCTAGAGTAGGGAGAGCGGGAGGAATCTGCCATATTCGTTTTAGTTTGGTACACAGAGTGAATGGAGAGTAAACGCACTACAGGCCCCAGAAAACCCGTACAGTAACTCAACTCTCAGCCGCACAACGAAGTCCGCCCCGTTCCCCGCATAATGAATAATTTAGCGCCGCAGACGGCTACTAGGGCGAGAATTCGATGCTTGGCGAAGCCACACAGCCCTGATATACACGATGAGCATGAGTAGCAGAAAAAAGAGCGATATAGAGGCTGGGCGTACCATGAAGAGCTTTACCGGGATGTGGTGGCAGGTGGGAAGCCGCCGGGTGCCAACGGGCGCGGCGCGGCCCGCGTTTCAGACGGTCCCGCGCTATGATTTCTGTAGTACGTATTGGTGGCATATTCAAGGAAAGAAACATAGAAGAGTACTGAGGGACGGGCCAAGCAGAGGACCAGGGGTGCTGATGAACGGCCGCGGGGGCGGCGGGCAGCAGGCGGGCGGGAGCGGGGCCCAACGGCGGCGGGCGGAGCACCGCGAGCAATGCCCGGCGTGGACGGAACGGTTACCGAGTGCTGCGCGAATGGAGGCGGGCCGGTACACACCGATGACAGGGTCAATACGGGTGAGAATCGGAAAGGGTCGGGATCAATCCAGGCAAGGTACGGTCAAATTGAGCCGGCCTGCCCAGAAAGGAAAGGCCTAATATTTTGTACCCATGATCTAGGGTTCCCCAAAGAGCAATAAACAGAATGCACGACTATTCCCACATGGAGCTTACTTAATTGTGACTCTACCCAATATGGAAGGTGTAGTCAATAAAACCTTGACTTCTTGTACTACACCTGTATGGCAAAAGTCGATGTAGTCAATGACTTCAAAGGGTGTTTCTAATGCTATCGACGCTACGGGTACGGGCGCGCAATAGTCCGCTGCAGGAGGACCGGCGAGGGTATATGGGCTGTCGTCCGGATGGTATTGCGATCCATGGTTCTCTGTGGATAGGAACCAATATCTGACGTTTCACTCTAGCTTAAGCGAATGTTGGCAAGGGGGCGTGTATTGCCGCGCTCTGGACTATAAAGCAACGGTCTGCGGTGATGTCCATGTGCGTCGCGCAGCGTCTTCCCTTCAGTGTTATCCTCGTCCAACGGAATTGCAGGTCAAGTTTTGGGATGTCGACTTATTACCAGAGGTCCGTCGGCAAGCACGCGCCATATCTTTCAGGATCCTTCAGCGTACTGAGCTGAACTGTAACGCTAATCAGGATTTATTCTCGCGATAGCAACCGGTGCGCCACGATTGACCTTGAAGCATGACGTTCTCCTGACTACGCGTTTTAGGCATACATCTGCTGCTCGCGAACACTCGCCCCTTGGTATATCCGTAGTAGTGAAATCTCGACGCAAGGTCAGATTTGAGGTCTGTGAGGAGTCACCCAGTGACGATGACGAACTGGATGAGAACGGCAATCTTGCCGATCTCATTGACGACGAATCTGTGGAGAGTAGCTCGAGTGGCGGAACGGATTATGACAATGAGATCCAACTATGCTGAGGGTTAATGAGCGAGTGTGAAGTATGCAAAGAGGTTAGAGGGGTGGGGCAATCGATCCCGGCGGCGAGGGGCAGCAGAGGTGCGACGGGTTACCATAAGCGCGGACGAAGGTACTTGCGCGTCCCTATGTGGACGAGTAGATGACTTGATAATCTGCTTGATAGCGCTGGAATACCGTTGCAAGGCGAACAGTATT